TTTTTTTTTTTTTTTTTTTTTTTTTTTTTTTTTTTTTACCTATTTTTTTTTTTTTTTTTTTTTTTTTTTTTTTTTTTTTGAAGCTTTTTTTTTTTTTTTTTTTTTTCTGAACCTCTTTCACTTCAGTTCTAAAGGTGTTTTGTATTGTCAGCCTTCCAGGTAAAGTGGGGTGCCTTGTGCATCTGAATCTTTCTTGGTTCTTTAAAGGTCTTTTTCAACCTATGATATTATTTCATGGTACCAGTATTGTAATGCTTTCAAAAAAAAGTATTTACTGCTGTGAGGAATTTCCTCTCTTCTTCTAGTACCTTCCTGGTAACAAATGTTAGAACACTGGTACAAATCTTATGTGACATCAAATGTGACAATGCAGTGGAGTTTAATGTCTTAATTTTAGAGCTGACAGGACAGAGAAGGGAAGATAAAGAAAAATCAGTCTTGCTTCAAGGTTTAGAGAAACATTAAGTTAGATTAGCTTCTCCAAACAAGGCTGCTTGCTGGTGTAGGTGTATGTTGTGTAGCTTTTTTTTCCAGTGACAAATGTGATTATCTGATTGATCATTTGTAGGGTGTGGAGCAAGAGCAGGAAATGTTTATCTTGTATCTGTATGAAGAGAAAAGTTGTCTTCTAAGAAGTTTTCCTCTTTGGTTTATACTAGCAAGGGAGCTGAGGGAGATTAGAGGAACTACTTGGTAATGCAGAGACAGTCTTCTGAGAGTTGTTCATGCCATCAGATGTAGACGAGAGTAAACAGCTTGCTATTTAGTAAGGGGTCCTCAGAACTTACTTATATTGGATATCTCCTTAATTTAAAAGTGCTCTAGGGGTTGGAGAACCTTTAAGCAGTTGAGTCAATGCACTATTGCTAGGAGTTTTCTCATTTAGAATGTGTGTGATGGAGTTTAAAATAACTTTGCTGCTAAGTTTTTACTGCCCTGTGATGGCAAGCCTTAAATATGAGCTCTCTGCCAGTGGTCAGTAGCAGTAAATATTCTGTTTGACTGTTCTGCTGGGTGTGGAAGGACAGAGGATGTTCTTCAGTGCAATAACCAGCATGTGTGCCATGTTGTTCCTGAGAGAGCTCACCATTCACAATTATGTGTTAGTCCTGTGAAATACACCCTATTAGATCCTCCCATCCTTGTGGCTGCCTTGGAGACATGTTGTCCTTGAACAATAAATTAAAAAGATTATAGTGTTTTTAAGCCCCATGCAGTCTAATTTGTTCTCCTTTAGCTGGATCAGGACACTTCTCTTGTTTGCCTTTGTCTTTCCAGTGGGGATGATAACTGTTCTTTTGCTGTCATTCTGAATGATAACTAATGCTTTTAAAGCAATGCATGTGTGCCTGGGGAAACACAGGTTGATTTCAGCAAGTCTCATATCTGCAGTATGTGTGTCAAAATAGGCTGTTTCTCCAACATAAGAGGGAAAGGAGAGCTGTGTGCTCCCCTCTCCACAAGGTTCTCCCTGTTTCCCCAGCAGTAATCCTGGTGAGTAAGAAATTGGGATGGGAGGAATCTATCTGAAATAACTTGATGTGCTGTCCTGAAAAGTGAGATCCACCCATTGCTGGAGGGTTTCACTGGGAACCTCAGAAAACACCTCTTAGTTTGCAAAGGAAGTGTTAAGTGAAAGTACCAAAAAGTTACTCTGCAAATTGCTCAAGCAGGAGGTGGTGTGACACTGATCTTCTGGAAGTGTGACAGAGGGCATGGCAGGGGGAAGCATGGATGTAAAGAGAAAGGTTGCTGTAACCTTTTCCCCAGTATGAAGGGTTTCAGGCAGGTGGTGTCAGCTGTGACACTGTGGGTTGTTGCAGTAATGTTGTGATAAGGCTGGATCAATATTTTTTGTCAGACTTGCTCTTTCATGAAATTGGATTGCTTGGGCTTCCTGTGAACTTTTGGCAGTTCATTTGGAAATGTTAATGCTCTTGTATATTATTGAGAATATGATGGAATGTTTTTAAGTTCCTCTCCCTTCGTGGATAACTCAGATTAAATGAAACTAAAAGTTGTACTGTAGGTGGAATGAGAAGGTGACTCTGACAGCTAAGAATGATTGTGGAAAACTAGTGCAAAAATCAAGTAAGAGTATTCACTTTTTACAATTTGAAATTAATATACTTAATACAGAATGAGACTAAAATAATTTCTCTGATTTGACACAGGACTGTCATACATCATTGCACATTCTTCCTCTTCAAATTGTATGTCTTAATACAATTTGTGTAATGTTACAAACATATTTAATCACTGTGTAGTATTCATTGTGTAACATTACAAATACAATTAATCACTATGTAGCTACTCTATAGAGGCAGCTTGGGTTCTGAGCTTCCTGCAGCTGGATGGTTTTTGCAGAATCAGCATCTGCTGAGTGTGTCCAGTTTCATTATGAGCCACATCTACAGAAATCAGTGTTGATGAAGGAGGAAGGGTCCAGGAACAATGTGAGACACTGAGCTGGGAGGAAAACTGGACTGAAGTCTGTTTTCATTTTGTTCCAGTGAAATTGTAGGGGTGTGATTTTGCTGTGTGTTCACAGTGAAGCTCAGCACAACAGGTCCTTGCAATGTCTTCAGGCTCTGGGTACTACCTAAATGTGTGGATAAACTTTTTAAAGATTTCTGAGTGGTAATGTGATGGTGTTTCTTTCCAGCTCCAGAACAACTTGGCTCAAGCAAGACCCAGTTTTGGAGCAGGTGGTTGTCCTGAACTCTGCTGTCTTCCACTGAGTTCAAACACACAAACAAGGTATTTTGTTCATACTAGAAAAAGACATCTCTTCTGTGTTCTCCAAGTGCTTCCTGTTACACACACGTGCTTGTTTTCCAAATATATTCTTCCTTCCTCTGGGAAGAAGATTAGAATGAGAGGGGAGTTAGGTCTGGGTAGTGGATTTTGGCATGTTCATATATGGAGTGTTAGGAAGCAAGACGAAAGACGTTTCAGGTCTGAATGAAGTGAAACTTATGGTAATTGTTCCTTTTCTTCTTATCTTGGCTTTGTTTGCAAGTTTTCTTTACAGCAAAAGAGAAAGCCTGTAACTGCCTTCCCCCCAGGCTCTGAATAGTGTGTGTGTGTGTGTTAAATATTGCCTCAACGCTGAGTTACGATGATGGTAATAAAATTCAGGGGCTTCAACAAAATTGCAGCTAAGACAGAAACTTGCTCTCATTTTACTTACAGTGTGGATTTTACTGGTAACATTATCCTGTGAGTAATAATCCTAATCTGACTGGAGAAGGACAGATGAGAATTTGAAGACACTCACCTTGGACCTGATGTGTCCACAGGCCATTCCCTCCAGAGCAGTCCATCCAGTCTCTGAGCTCTGTCTGGCAGGGTGAGCTGCCCCAGAGCCCACAGCGTCCCTGCACAGAAGCATTCCTGCAGTATGCAGAACACCTCAGCATTGCTTGAATGGTTGAGGCCCACTGTCCTTCTGTGTCTCCAGAAACTCTTTTGGTTGTAGAGTTGCAGGGCAAAAAAAAACATTTATTTGAAAGAATGAAAAATCTCTAAAGTGTTTGGCTGGACTAAAGGCATTTTCCTGTAGTACCAGCTGTTAATTAAGTACTGGTTCATTATAACAAATGAATGATGGGAGTGAAGCTGTGATACCTTTAAAGGAAGGGCTGTGTTGACAAAAGTGAGCTTCACAATGATGTGAAACAGCAGACCTGAGCAATAATAAGAATCTAATACAGCTAATGTTTCATGCTTTAGTGTGATGGCAAAAAGATTCTAGGTTAAAAATGTCAACTTTTCAGCAATTTGGTTTCTGTATACATGACTAGTGAACTTCCTGTTTTCAGGGAAGCAATTCTCTGTACTTTAGGAATGGAGTCAGATTAAAGGGAATTGAAATAATGTAGTGAGTTAATAAACAGCTGACTGTAAATATCAGAGCCAGCTGGTAGAGTGCAGGAGCTGGTTGTGAAGCTGTCAACTGTGCTGAGGATTCACATTCTGGAGTTTTTGCTGATTTTTAGTCAAAGCTAGTATTTTTAGGTTTTTAGTCAAAACTAGATTTTTAGTTTCAAGCTCTGAAGCTGTGATATTTGAAATGGAATAGAATCTGTCTAGCTATGACTTGTAGGTCAGGTCATTCAAGTTACTTGTTTGACACCTTGTGGAAATCAAGCACCACCTTCAAGCAGAGCAGCCCCATCTCTGAGCAGCTTCATGTGTGTCATTTTAGTCCCAGTTCTGAACAACTTCTGATGCAGGTTGGATTGAAAAAGAGGAGAGCTGGAATTAGCTTCCAAGGCTCACCTTCTCTTTATGTTAAAATTTGAAGCTGTATGTGTGTCAATTTGAGTTAAAAGGAAGCTGTTCCTTTAGAAACTGGCAAAGTGTGCTTTATATTACTGTATTTGAGAAGTCACAAATAACATCCATCATGATGATTTCTGAACACATTCTGCCTAAGACTTGAAAGTGAGGATTTACTATTGTTTTGAGGCTTTGAGTAATATATGTTTAAAGTGTTTCACTAAGTTGTTAAGGAGAAAGGACTTTCAAAATAACATCCTAAATTTTCAGACATGTGGGTTCTAAGTGACACTCACAGTAGCTATCACTGACAGATAAAAACAAGAAAAATATAATGGAGCAAAGAAAAAGTATTTCATGTATTTAGACTGTTGTGGAATGTTTCTGCTTTGGAGCTTCTCCCATGTTTTGAGTACTTTAGAAACAGTGGAAGGCAGAAAAACTGCTCATCACAATCTGTTAAAACAGAATTGACAGAAGTTTTTGGGACTTGCTCTTTCATTACTAGTGTTCCCATAATTATACTATTTCTATTGATTTAGCTTTTTTTGTAGTACAAGATGACTAAAAGTTAATTTAGTCAGAATTCCTTATGGCTGTAAAATGTCTTAGGTGCACTTTGCTACTGCCTTGAAGACTTTCAGCTGAAAAAAATGTGACTGGTGTGAAGTGCTCCTGTCTAGAAACTCAGTGTGGAATTATTTAACCTTTTGGAGATAGGTTAGCTGTACAAATATGGTCATGTTTTTATTTAAGCCTTCAATAACAATGTGCAGGTGTTTTTTTCTGCCATATTACCTTGCATCAGTGAATTGTCACCTTTGACTAAGCTCTTGTAGTATTGCAGATAGTAATGTAGGGGGAAAAAATCTAAATGCCATAAACACTTCTTGCTTTGGAGCATAAATTACCCACTGATCTGTGGTTTAGAAAGGTACGTTATGGTTCTGTGACCTAGATTGCTCCTGTGATACCTTAATTCCTGTGATTACTTTGTTTCACTGAGTTATTTGAAGCTTCCTCACACCTTCCTGCTGTTTTGGAGGCTCATTTCCTAGAGCTGATTTGAAAAAAAATCTCTTTGTAAAACAGTAGAATAGCTCAGAGGAATGCCCTTGTGAGGGCTGCAAGTGCTGTCTGGTATGAGGGCATGTGTTCTGTTGTGGGTTATTTCTGTGCTTTGCCTTACTGTGCTGTGAGATAAGGATTCAGTATAGATGCATTATTTTTCCATCCTGTTTTTACATTTATTTATCAACCCCCCACCCAAACTATTAATTGGCACCCAAATTGCCTTTTTATGTTTCCTCTTATATTTGGAAAGGAGGTGGCAGCCTGTGAAGAAAAGCAGAGAAACTTTTGGATAGATAAGAAAATAAACACACAAGAGTATGTGCATTTTCTCCTGAAGTAATTTATTGCTGAAGTCACCTCTATGTTCTGCCACAGAGATGGTCAGCAGCCAGCCTGTCCCCATAGCAGACAGTGGGAAAAGGAAAAAGAAAAAAAGAACCAGAGCTACAGATCAGGTCCCTGGGAAGTTTGAAGGTTGGTGACAATTTAAAAGCCTTTAATTGTTACAGTCTGCTTTGCTTCTGCTGTTTTACTTAGCTAAACATTGCATTTTTTGGTAGGAACAGAGATGATGCCAAAAGGGTTTTGATTGAATAGATGTGTGCACAAATACTGTGAAGTTTTGTAAGTAAAATACAGTCAGTGAGAAAACTGAGCAGTATAAAACTTCTTAGTGGGCAAGCAGCAATGGAAGTACATTTCAAATAAAAATGGTAGTAGCATTCTAGGTTTAAATGTTCAAGTTTGTTATACTTAAAACACCATCTCTGCAAGTAGTTTATGTATGGCAGGCGTTTTCTGAACAAAGAATTAATTGTCTTCAACCTGAAAAATTGTTACTGAGTTTTGCATGAAGACATATGTAGTGGCTGAGATCCTAGAGATTACACATTTGTTCACACTTTAAATGTTTTCTATCTCAGCAATTTTTGATGTTGTAATAAAGTTTACATGTTCATTTTTCTGGAACTTGAAAGAGGGAGGTGAAAAAGGAAATGTAGTTGAGACTGGCATGTCTGCTTTAATACTACATAAATTTGAGGGATGCTTATTAGATAAAGAGCTTGTCTTGATGTTATTCATTAAAATAGCTTTGACTTTCAAAATTCACTTTGATGGATGTGTCCTTTCTTCTGGATTTCTTTGGCAGACTTGTACAAGCTGACTGCTGAGCTGCTTGGTGAGGGAGCATATGCTAAAGTTCAGGGTGCTGTCAGTCTCCAAACTGGGAAAGAATATGCAGTCAAGGTAAGTAGAGACTAAAAGCAGCATCACTTCTCTCTGTGATGTGTTTTCTCCCTCTGAGCATCTCAGGGAAAACCTGCAATAGAGTGGGTAATAGCAGATCCTTCTAGGAAATTTTTGATGCTGGAAATGAGCTTGTTTTCTAACTGTTGAGAAAACTGTCATCTTAAGTGTTATGCCTCCAGAGTGAACTGGTGTATCAGCTGCAGGTAGAAATCGCAAACAGTAAATCATTGTGATTGGATCTCAGGGCAAGCTTTCCTCTCATGCCCTGATTTAGTTGTAGTCTACCTTTGTCTCTTTTTATGAAAAAAGAGGCTGAGTCATTACACAGCATGGTCTCCCAAATATTGCAAGCTTTTGGGTACTGTTCAGGGAGCATCAGGTGCTGCCAATGGTTCATGTATAGCTGTCTTTATTTTTTGATAGACGCCAATCTTCTTTCTGTAATGTCACTGAAAAGTGTTAGGGCTCATTTACAATTTGTTTTTATCCCGAGTCCCCCATTTAATTACAAACACAAATAACAGCAATAGGGGAATTTTATGTTTGATTCTATTCAAAAATAGGCACCAATTTTAAGCTTCTTTTAAAATTTAGTTCTATAGATGCTGGATTTTTTTCTGTACTTTGTAAAATTGTTGAAGTTTAAAGGTTGAAATAAACAAAACTCTGCGTGAGGAATTGGATGTGATCAGATGCAGAGACCTGTGTATACTGGTGGATGGTTGTCTGTTCTGCACCAGAGAACTCAGGCTGCAGAAATAAGAAACCAGTCCTGGATACAGATCATTGTGATGTCTTGCTTTCAGTTTATGCAGCAATCATTCAGGCTCAGCCTCTTGTCCTCTTTCAACCTGAGGATGGTGTGAAGGAAGGTAGCTTCTCATGGCTCTGAGATTGAATGTATGTTTTCTTTAGGTTCTGTTATTGGGTCTCCATAAAGTTTATACTATGAACTTTAATTTTTTGTTGAATTTGGTACTTGTTGCTTAAATGCCTCTAATGACAAATCTGTTCTTTTTGACTGTTCAGTGTCTGATGTGACTCAAATCTATTCTTGGTAGAACTCAAGAGGATATCCTGTTCCACACATTGCAAAGTTAAAATGATGCAAGAAAAAGCTTGTGGTAACTGGTCACTGGCTGTGTAACATGTGGACTTAGTTCCTTTCTTCTCTTCCTGTCCTAATTTCTCTTGTCCTCTGAATGCCTTCCAGAGCTCTGCTGACACTGCTGTGCTCTGTAAAAAAAATGCCAGATGAGGAATTGAACAAACAAACAAAGGTGGAGTGTTTTTCTCCAGTGGGCATGCCCTAGATTCAAACCTTAGAACAGTTACCTAATTTCAGAGCTGTATGCATAGTTCCTGCAGTAATTTTTCAAATATGAGTTCTTAAAACTCTTTTTCACAGATAATTGAAAAAAATGCTGGGCATAGTCGGAGTCGGGTTTTTCGTGAGATAGAAACTCTGTACCAGTGTCAGGGTAACAAGTAAGTATGGTTTGTCTTTGTTTATTTAAAGTGTTTTGATTCCTTGTTTTCAAATTTTTATGTGTGACAAGGTTAGAAGCTTTGCTGTAGTCCCCTTAAAACCACTTGAAATTTAGACTTGGCTTATTCAGAGTAAGAATTTCCCCTGCTTTGCCTGTGAAATTTAAGGGAACATGTACAGATTTAATAGTTACATAACTCAGCAGCCAGGTCAATGTAGCTTGAATCTGTTTCAATGATGCATGGCTTTTGTCCTGATGAGAAATTAACATTTTGATGCTCTCCCCTGTGACTTCACCATCGGCAAAAGCTGACATGATACCAGCTGCTATGGAAAGGAGATCTTACCATTCCTTTCCCTGATGTGTGGTTTGTTCTCCTCCTTGTGTCAGCCTTCCTGCTTTTGCACTGGAACTCTTAAGATCAGCAAAAAGCTAATGTAGTTCTCATTTGGATGTGTGCTGACTTCATGCAGCCACAGGATGAAGCAACTGTAAAACTGCTACTCGTGACTGAAGAGGAAGAAAAGTTGTACAGCACTGGCAGCATGCTCTGGGAGCTTTGTGATGAGTTTGAGCCAGTCCTAAAGCTACTTTTAGATGTCTCTGTTGATCTAGGATGTATATACAACATATTGTGCAGCTTCTACTGAATTTTTCAAACAAATACTTAATATAACATACAGAAATAATTTTTAAACCAAATTGTTTACCAAACTCATGGGCTTATGTTATGCTGTAGAGAACCAGACAATGTTTTTTTTCTTGTGTGAGGTTAAGAGTAAATGGTCATCCAGTGCACAACTGATGAAAAACTCAAGCTCACATGACCACATGGAGAATTTTGGGGGTTGGATGTATCATTACATGTAAAAAAATCCGACTTACACATTTGACATTCTCAAAGCAACCTGAGGTATTTGTGCTGCAAAGAATTTACATGAGCTAAACAGGAGTTAGTCTAAAAATGGCAACTAAGGAGTTGGATTTAATATCTTGTTGACAGATGCCCGTCTCCTTTGAGCCCTGTGTTTTGCTTTGTGATTTCCAGAGAGAAAGAATGCCAGTTTAATTATTTTTTCTTTATTCCTGCCTTCAGCACAAATGCAGTGTTTTAAATTATTAAATACAACCTACTAACAGTTATCTTCCTGTCAATTGAGCAGTAGCAGAGCTCTTGCAATCTTGTCTGAATGTGGTGTTTGGCCTGTTTCCCATGCTTAAATTTCAGTGGGAGTTGGAAATGTGGTTTTAATGCCACAGGCAACCAAAGCAACTTGTTTTACTAGAACTTGTATTTTTGGTTACTTCTGGCAGTTCCTAGTTATCCATGCTGAAACTCTTCATTGCTGTGTGTAGACTCCATGCTTGTTTCTTTTGTTCCCTTCTTTTTGTTTCTTTTTTTACAGGAACATTTTGGAGTTAATAGAATTTTTTGAAGATGACTCAAGATACTACCTGGTCTTCGAGAAGCTGCGAGGAGGTACTGTGCAGAAACTGTGCCTTTGCTCATTGAATCATTTTGGCTCCTATTTGCCTCTGTTTTAAAGTAATAATTGAAGAACTTTAAATGCTTGATACTTTCAAGACAAGAAGTAGAGGAAGTGTTATACACAGCATGAAGTATGGTTATTCTTGAGTATTGATGGGTTTGGTCATGCATTTGCAATCTCTTTCTGTGGCTGAGTGATGGCAATGTCAGCTATATTAAAGTGACAGGTTTGAAATACAGTCAGTAGGTCACAGGGGAGGGGAGACACACAGGATGTGAGGTGTCATGCATGGGCCTAGTGCAGCATCTGTGAACTCTGGCAGAGTTTTTCCTTGATGTAGGATTGACTTCACTGTCTGGAACTCATGGAACTCTGTTATGAAAATCATCTTGCCTGTGCCTAGGTTTGCTGTTATTGAGAGCCAGTTGTGCTTGTGGGTGTTTGAGAACCCATCAAGTGAGCCTGACTGGTCACTGGGCTCCAGCACTTCCCACTCACCTGGAAGTGAGAAATGAGAAAGCTGCAGCAAGCACTTCATGGACTTTCTCACATTTGTCTGCATGGAGTATAATTACATGCTAATTGCATGGCTGTGCAAAACCAGAAGTTAGTTGGCCAACCCTTGAAAGGAAAGCTGAGATTCTGGAGTATCCTGCTGCCCAGAGACCATCTACTGTCTCTGGTCAAGAAGGTTTCTAGGTGCAAACTGTATATGCAAGAAATAAAAATCTGTTCTGCATAGATGCGGAACTATTTTTGAAAGAGAGGGATGTGCATATTTTTTGTGTAAAAACTTTTCTTTAACTTTTCTCAAAATTTTGTATCTTTTTCTTCTATTTACCCATAACACTTTTTCTTAATGCACAGATGTCTCTGACAAATTAGCTGTTATAGGGCCTGATTGAGATGAATCTGCATATGTCTTATTTTTCATCTCCACTAGTTAATCCTCTTCTTTGTGAGTCTGTGGTTGTCAGTGTATCTGCATGGCTGCTGAGAGGATAATAATGCTATTCCCCTTTTAGCTACTGTTTTTACAAGCTCAGCTAGGGCTAAGACTAGTTTTCTCTTAAAAAAATCAGTATTTAAAGGGTTAGGTATGTGGTTTGAAGACAAAGAATGTGAATTAGAGTCAGCTCTGATGCACTGCAGATTCTGAAGGGAATGTCAAGGCTGGCAAGAACGAGAACATTAATCTTCAATGCAAGTCTTACTTCAGTAACTCCAGTCTCAGAGGCTGCTATTACTTACAGTTTTGGAGCATAATTTGGGCTTTCCATTTTCAACTTTGCCTCCCAGTAGCTGTTGTAACTGAAGGAGCTCTGCTGCTGTTTTATCTGTTTTCAGTTCACTGTGATGTCCAGAGGCCCTTTAGTATCCTTGTCTGACAGCATTTTATAATTGAATGAGTTAAAATTGAGCTGATTAGATTGAACTGATATGATTTAAGGGTTTTTGCCTCTTTTTTTTTTTCCCCTCTGAAATGCATTTTGAGAGGTGCTGTATGATGCTTTCTCTCTGTTGAGTACTGGAGAGGTAGGAACAACTAGTGCCCTGCTATTCTTTCTTCATGAGAATTCTCTACGTGGGCTGAATATAAAGTCAGTAAAGTGTGTTTTTATTGATACTGATATAATTCTTATCTGAGAGAATTTGAACATCAGCTCTATTCAGACAGGTAATTTCAGATAAACATGCTGAGTGAAATGAGCACTTACAGGTGGCTCAGTATTGTTTCCTGCAAAGTGTGGGATCTTTTCCACAGGGCTGGAAACATTGAAGAACTGTTACTGCTTTCTAAAGGTGCAAAGCATAACTACACCAGGAAACCCCTTTGAACTTCGTGCACTCAAAATATCTGTAGCAAACTAGGTGGTGTTTGTTTTGGCAAGGGAAAAATGTCTGTGTTTGTAATCTGATAACCTGGTCCAAATGGCCTTCCTCCACCCACCTGACACAGCATGGCTGTGCATATCTGAGAATATCTCCCTTCTTTTTGAATGCCCTTTCTCTTCCCTCTCTGAATGCTCACTGTGGAGGAGGAGTGGCTGTTACATTGATGGTATTAGAATAGGAATTACCCAGTAGGATATTCCCTTCCACATTTACAACTAAAGAATAAAAGTGAAATCACCTGAGATACAAAATGTTGAGTGTACTGGGGCTAATAACAAATAGCACTTACTTCTTGAATTTCTTTGCCTGATTGCTTTTACAGATACACTTCTCTGAACAAGAAAATAGAAGGCAATAGTAAGGCTACTTAGGGAGTGAGATATCTGTGGACTACATGGTTTTTTTAAGACATTTTTAATCTTTCAAGAGGAATGATTGAATTTATTTTAAGAAAAGGCGGAATCAAACCTCCCTTTATTCTTTGTTAAAGGGATACCAGTGAGGCTCTGCCTGTAAGCTACCAGCTTTTCAGTATGTTTTAATTTAGAGGTCTTTTGTCAGATTTCATATCTCTGAGCAAACTTTTCCTTAAGTCAGTGCAGAAGCCTTGCCTTGATGCCTGTGGGGAGTTTGATATGTATTTAAAGGTCAAATCTCTTTTTACCTTGATGGTGTTGAGGCACAAAACACATATCCTTGACTTTCAGTGCAGGATTTCAGTAGTGATATTATAGAAAATGAGGGGAGTTTGAGTATGACTACCCATGACCTGGGGTAGGTTGGGTTTTGCTGAAGTATTTATGTATCTCCTTAGCTGATGTTTGAGTTTTACTGGTACTACTGACAAATTTCTACTGTCCCAGTGTGTGGAAAATGGGCCAGTCATGTCCTTGGGCAGTAAAAAGTGATTGCCTCTCATGCTGTGCTTAAACTAGACAGCTGCACTGTTTGAAAATTATGTCTTAGCACACTTAAGTGGTGAAGCTGCTCAGTTGTGCCTTTTCTTCTTAGCCATTCCCCTCTTTGCTCCACAGAAGTTGCCTGCTGTTAAAGGCTGCTATAAAGTGTTAAAATGAGATTATGGATTCATGATACTTGGAACTAGTTCACCATTCATACTGAGGTTTTTCCTTTCACCTGTTATCCTGACAGGTTCAATCTTGGCCCATATACAAAAGAGGAAGCACTTCAATGAACGAGAAGCAAGCAAAGTGGTGAGAGATATTGCCTCTGCTCTGGATTTCCTTCATACAAAAGGTGAGACAAGGCTGTCTTCAGCTTTCCTAGTTAATACTGTACACTCAGGTTATAAAGCACATTTATCTCTAAGTAGCCAGCTTTTGCTAGTGTTCACATTCACAGCAATGCCAGATGACTTAAGCTATTTTCCTTTATGAAGCTATTTTCACATTGTAGTACTTTCAGTAATAGGGAGTGTTAAAATGTTACAGACTTACCAAGAAGAACACTTGAATCAGCATCCAGAGAGAGTTACCATTATGGTTAAGTCTATTTGTTCCTGTTACACAAAGGTTACTCAAAAGTGATTTAATAAAATATTAATTTCCTTGTGTTTCAGGTCGACAGAGTTACTTTTTTGTAATTACTCAGAATTTCTGCTGGTCACAAGACCTGTTGGTTTGCAGTAGTTTTTGGCTCCCCATATTTAGACTCTCACTGTTAAATTGAGAGACCTAGGTGAACCATAGACTTTATTCAAAAGTGTCCTCAATTCCTTTGGAATTTGCTTAGATTTAAAGCAGTTATGTTTGTAGAGTTGTTTTTTTTTTGTTGTTGTTGTTAGCGTTTTTCTGCTGCTTTTTTGACTTGGGAATACTTTGGTTTAAATTCAAAAATTTCTGTGCATTATGGTCATCCCAGAGTATATTTTTGGGAATATGATGGATACTTTTGAAGTTTTTGCTATGTTGTGATTATCTGGCCTTGCAGCTTCAGTTACTGTTACAGTGACTAGGTCTGAATAGAATGGCATGTAATTGAAGACTGTTTATGGGTTATTTATTTTGATACATTTTTTCTTTCCTTTTTGCCATTCTTATTAACCTGGTGGATCTCAGCAGATTTGCATTTGCTACCTAAATTGCTTAGTACCGGCCCTGGATCAATAAATGTTCAGTTGTATTCCATACTTTCAAGTCACAGGTCTCTTTATGTGCTGAGTTGGAATCACAGCACTGGTACCTCAACAAGTTGAACCTATTAAAAAGAAAATTGTATCAATGTATAGGAATAAAAGGGGAAAACCTGAGGAATGTGGGTCTTGTTACATGTTGTGACTGTTACAAAAAGTATATTTGAATGTGAAACCAAACTTAGTTTGGATCAAGAGATTTTGTAATCTTCACAGCCTGTCTGTGATAATTAAACCTTCCGAGAAGGTGCTTCTTCAATACCTGTGTTTAGAAGATTTTGACTTTGAGATATGGGACATATAAAAAGCAGGAAATTTAGGCTGAATATGTGGAAAAAAAATATTTTTTGATGTGCAGGGCTATAGTGGGTTTCTTAAAAGCTGCAAATCCAGGTACTCCACTCAAGAGGCTTCACATCAGCTGAGCTAATACCTTTCTGTAGCTCTCTCTCAGCTTTTAGTTTTAATTCCCCTTTTCCCAAACAAGAGGAGGGTGATTGATTAAAATAGCTGCAGAGCAGCAATCTGCTTTCTTGTTGTTTGCTGTGAGCTGGGACAGCAGGGATATAGCTTGCAGAATCAGCTACATCCCCTTTTCATTTTATTGTTCTCTTTATGGTTCTTCTGTGTGACATTAAAATAATTAGTAAGTAGGGTACAGAACACTAAAGTAAACAGGAAATTAAAGCAGTTTTATTGCACAGCTTAATGGTGAAGTCCTATAGCTAAATGCTTTTAAAAAAATTTGAATAAGGACAACTAATTCTTTTGACAGTAGTAGTTTAAAACTCAGCTGGATGATAATCCTGACTTACACCCACTTGGGATGTGTGTGCTTTATTGCTAATAATCTACTGGAGAGGTGTTTAAAAGCAGTTGTTTTCTCAGTGCTGTGTGCAACTGCAAAATCAAATGTTACATAATCAGACATTTGAATTCACACAATAATACAAAAAGACAATGTTGGCTTTCCCACTGTGAGCTAAGCCAACCGTTGGGAGTTTGGTCAGCCTTGTAAATATCAGCACAGGCCACCTCAGTGGGTTCATTGTGCCATCTTTTGTGCCACAGCCATGTGCACTGTGTCAGTATGAGCACTGATTCCTTTAGATGGGGGCTCTGCTGTTAGATTTTTTGCCACGTCTTGTGGAGTGTGCTGAATAAATGACATTAAAAGCTTCCTTGCCTAGAGTTTGGTGGAATTTTCCTTCCTGTACTCTGAAGTAATGTAAGGTGCTCTTGGAATGTAAGTTTCTAAATCAAGACTAGACTGCAGTTAAATTACAGCCAAGTTGCTCATTTGATTTGATTTTTTTTGCCTCTCATTTTCTACCTTCCAATTGATTTTGATCATATCAAATGAAGAACTTCCAGAAATTGTGTTTTTAGGCATTTGAAGAACTTTGACAGCAGAGAACCATCTTGCATGTGGATTACACAGATAACTTTGTGCTTCGCTGTTAGGTTTGCCTATCCTGATAGGAATCAAATAAAGAAGCCCTTTGGCTGTTTTCATCTAGCTTTTCTTCAGCATTTCTGAAACTTTAATTTTTCATTTGCTTCAGCAACAAGTATATACCTCAAAGGGATATTTTCACCTGGGAGTCAGGGGATTTTTTTGCAGTGGAGAGTGCCACAAGCACCTTCTGTGCTGGTAGGAGTTCAGCAAGCCAGTTGATCCATCTGGAAAGAACAACTTTACTGTAAAAGGCACAAAAATAATTTAATTAAACCATGTAAAGAATTAAACTTTCCTACAGGTCAGTCATCTTAATAAGCTGGTTTTAAGGAACATAATTGACTTGGGCTAACAAAATATTCTGATGTTAGGTTCTTTCTTGCTTGACAGACTCTCCTGTACAGTTATGGATGATAAAGGTATAGCAGGATGCAACAGTGACATTTAACAGTTGCACTTTACAATTAAATTATTATATTTAAGAAGGGCAGATGTGTGTAGCAGGCTCAGACTTAGAGTATTTCCTAGGACACCTTCTAATAAAGAGAAGTTATGAGAAATAAAACAGCAGAGTATCCTTTCTAATGAGCATTTGTACTCTCTGTTTAGGCATTGCTCACAGGGATCTGAAGCCTGAAAACATCCTGTGTGAATCTCCAGAAAAGGTGCTGCTCTGGTCTCTTAACTTTCCAAACTGAATTTTTAAAATTTGGTTCCCAAAAACAGTCCTTGTATTTTTTTCTCTTCTTGAAAACTTTTGAACCCATTAGTGAACTTCAACTAAATTTGACAGAACTGAAGGTTAAAAAAGAGACTAAATTCTTCTTTGAGCTGTGAAAATGTGAACATCTGGCTAAGAGATAAAAAGCCAGCTGGCCTTGTAGAGGGATGGCAGTGACACCCTAGTGCCTCATCTATTCTGAGCGAGTACCCAGATGGACAAGCAGCATTTAGAGACCAGCTGGTCACTTTATATGAGTTTTCAAAGTGCCCTGATGTGTACTGGCACTTGCCTAGCCAAATAAAAGAATAATGTAGCAGGATCAGGTGCTGGTGGTGTGGGTGCAGCTGGGGCAGGGTGGGTGAATGCAAGGAGTGGAAGGTAGCTGTAAGAGATTGGGTCTCACTAGGGATTTGTGTTCTGTCCTGGGGTTTTCTACTTCACATATATTCATAGATTTTGCATTAATCCCAGTCTTCATGACCTCTTATTTTTTTTAGATATCACCAGTGAAAATATGTGACTTTGATCTTGGCAGTGGGGTGAAGCTGAACAGTGCATGTACTCCAATAACAACTCCTGAATTAACAACGCCGGTGAGAGAACTGTGGTGGCTTTGTGCTTTCTTTGTTCTGCTGTAAACCAATTTTTCTTATATCCAGAGGAGTCCTTCCAAAGGGCTTTACTGCCACTACACCCAGTGCTGGGCAGCTCATTTCAAGCAAGTGTATGTGTGGTAAATACTGTCTTGCTTTCCCAGTTACAGAACAAATACACAAAAGCACTGGAGCTCACAGTGTTAATTTTCTTGCTGGCCAGCATGCGACACATTGGTCCTGCTTATCTCTTCCACAATCAAATGGGGAAACTTTTTGTGCCCATTTTTGTATGCTTATAGACAGACTTTGAACCTTAGTTTTGTGCTCATTTCCCCATGTTTTGTTCCTGTAGCCAAGCCAATGAGCTAAGGAGAACGCAAGCTCTCCAATCAGTTTGTAGATTTATAATACACATTAGTTTGAAAAACTACAGTCCCGTGCTTTTGCCATTTACTGTGAAAGAAAAATCTGACAGTGTTGCAGAAGTCTTACAGAAATCTATTCCCCTGATACACTTCTCTGGTAACTAATGAATAAGATTAAAAAACCTGAAAGATGTAAATTAATATTTTGATCTTGGATTAAAGGTTCACAGCCATGTGGAACAGCTTGTGGTGCTGGTAAAGAACTATAGGAACTTTAGTATTCACTGATGCCTATTTTTTGCTATTCCACCAAGCCCCTTGGTATAAAGAGTGAAAAATTATAAACCTGAGTCTTGTTTTGATGTGACCCTCTCTTTGAAAACTTGATGGAATTTGGTTTCATAGTGTGGCTCTGCAGAATACATGGCACCTGAAGTGGTGGAAGTCTTCATGGAGGAGGCCACGTTCTATGACAAGAGGTGTGATCTGTGGAGCCTGGGGGTGATTCTGTACATCATGCTCAGTGGTTACCCCCCTTTTGTGGGCAACTGTGGCACGGACTGTGGCTGGGACAGAGGAGAAGTCTGCAGGGTTTGCCAGGTCAGTGTGCATGTCCTGGGTGTGTGGGGAGTGCAGAGTTCTCCCCTGGGCTTTGGGTGTAAAACTTGCTGCAATGTCAGCAGTGGAGAGCTGTGCCTGATGCTGGCAAGTAGCTGGGAAGATGAGCTGTCACTACAAAGTGAGGGTGGCAGTATAAAAGCTGAGTGATAACAGTTTCTAAAGTAAGGTTGGGCAACTGCCTCTCCTTCCTCCTGTTGTGAGATTTCAGAACTTCTCCTCACCCTTTTTCACGCTCTGGAATCCTCCCTTGTTCTGTAGTCCTTATCTGGTTTATAGTAGTCACTGCAACTCCTCAGATACAAGCTAAGCCCTGGGAGGATTGAATTTATTTTCTAAAAATGGAGTATTTTATCTGCCCTCTTAGGAGTGGGGGAAGTGTTTTCAGCAGACATTGTATTGTGTCCATCTTAGGCTGCACTGAGCCACTCTGTGCAGCTGCCTGTCACCCTGCATTGACTGCATAAGGAGACTGGATGGTTTCAGTTGCTGCCCTCCACATTAGGTGGCTAAAAGTGCATGGGCAGTCTCACCTGGAAACCTTCTGGTTGCTGTGTATTTCAATTGAATAATTTTTTCTTTACCAGAACAAGCTTTTTGAGAGCATTCAGGAAGGCAAATATGAATTTCCTGACAAGGACTGGTCACATATTTCCTCTGAGGCCAAAGATCTCATCTCAAAGCTGCTGGTTTGTGATGCCAAAGAACGACTTAGTGCTGCTCAAGTTTTGCAACATTCATGGGTTCAAGGAGTATGTATTCCCCTTTATATAAAGAGTTATTCTTCTTCCAGAGTGACAAATAAGCTGTTCCCTGTCTCTGAATTTTTTGAGTCCTTGTGTGTTTCAGTGCTTGTATCTTGATTAATTAAATGATATGCAGTGGCTTTATTTTTTCTGCGTGGTAAATATTTGGATGAATATGTCAGCCTTTGAATGTTTGTTTTGTTTTGTTTAATCATTGCTTTGTGCATTTTAAATGGCTTTCTTGTGAATAGCAAGTACTGCGGTACACAAATTATTGTGCTAATACAGTAATGCAGAATGCTGGCAAATATGGTTATAAAGAGCAGCAGTGTCCTCTTATGTTTCAGTTTCCTGTTCAGGAAAGAAGGAATAGACCCTCTGGAGAGCTTCCAAAGCTGTAGTCTTATACCTGCAAGCTGTGAAATCTCCTTGTGAGGGGAGACAGATTATGAAATACACTTTGCAAACAGTGATTTGTAAGCCCATAGTGAATTAGTTTATTTGCAATATCTGTTGGTTGTAAGGATTTGGGGGAGTCACTTGTTTTTTGTCACTCTTGGGAAATTTGGTTCCCAGCTGCTAATATGTAATTAACTTCTCTTCTATGCTTCTTCTAGCAGGCTCCTGAAAGAGGATTGCCCACCCCTCAAGTTCTTCAAAGGTAAGGTTTATTTTTTAAGTATCTGTAAACATGGCCAAGAATAATTCCTGAAAAATGGGTGGGAGGGAGGAGTTGACAAATTAGGGGACAGTATCCCTGGCTGAGAATGGAGCTTCATAAATGTGCTGCACTAATTTTGTTAAGAACGTCAGAAATATTAAAACTGAATTTTCTTTATGATCTAATCTTGCTTGTGGGAAAAGCATTAGAGGGAATTCCTGCAGTGCAGTGTTAATCTTAGGAAAAAATGATGGTTTGGTCAGCTTGCTGCCCAGGAGGGGTAGAAAAAGGCATAAAGGTGTGTGTTACCTGAAGAGACTGCTTTCTGATGGGTGAATTATCACCATAAACACAGACTTGGATCTGACTTTCCTTGTAGCTGGTGGCACTCACAATATCCATTTACTGTGAGCAGGTCAAGCCTCATTGGAGGTGATTTGATGGGAGATTGTCTGTGCCAGAGAGCCTGAGTCACACATCTGTTTCTATCTCTGTGTCTGCTGCTGGTGATTTCAGGTGGTTCTTCCATCAGAAATGCCTTTCCTTAAGCCACAGGTGCAGTCATAGTGGGACTGCAGTTCTCTGGAGAAGGGGAGCAGAATGGCCCCATATGCCCATCCTTTGAGAACAGCTAGAAATTAAGGATGACATCTGAGGTGGCTTCCTGGGTTTATAAAATCAGAAGTCCTTGGCAGAAGGAGGAGTAGAACTGTGGCTGTTTCCAAAATCCCTGAGTGTTTTTGTCATGCATTGCTGATCCTCTGGGTGAGGATAAATGCAAGTATTAACTGGTCATTTTGCTTGCTGTCTCGATGATTTGGTAGAAGAAATAAACACGCCTGGAAATAGATACTCTGCTGTGAGGGCAAGTGGGTGAAGCGCTTGTGTTGAAACTGCTTCCTCCTTTTCTTTCCCCGGGCAGGAACAGCAGCGCGAAGGAGCTGACCCTGTTTGCAGCCGAGGCCATAGCCCTGAACCGGCAGCTGTCCCAGCACGAGAGCGAGCTGAGCGCGGAGCAGCGGAGCGCCGCGCACGCCGTGTGCTCCGTGAAGCTGTCCCCTCCCTCCAAGTCCCGCCTGGCCCGCCGCAGGGCCATGGCACACGCCACCAAGACCAGCGACTTCCAGCCAGTTCCCCACAAAGCCTTCTGAAGTTCTTTCCTGCTGCGGCGGGGGCAGGACGAGTCTGTGTTCTTATTTGGATTTTAGAGCTGATAAAAGCTGCTCTGCTTCCGACACTTTGATTAGGAGCTTGCTCTTGTGATGTGACTTGTAACTCAAAGGGGACAGCTTTTTATGGGAATGTTTTTTGCCTGTCAGATTTAGTGCATTAAGATAATTCAACTGATTTTTTTTTTTTAAACTGCAGAAGATGAGTTTTCTGCTGTATTATGTGAGGTGATAAATCACTAAGTTTTCCTCATTTTCTTCTTAGAAGAGCACAGTTTAAAATGCAAACTTGAGTACATCAGGAAAAACCCACACTGCCAGGCAGAGGATCAAGCCTCTCTTTGCTGATGGCTGCTCTCCTTGGTAGCACGTTTTGAAGCTGCTGCTGTTAATGCCAGCAGTAGGGACAGTTCTCAGCCAACAGAGCCCTCCTCTCTTTCTGTAGACTCATGAAGGTGACGACAGGGTGGATCTCTGTCTCCATTATATTCATTGGGCTTAAATGGAACGAGATGGTACTGTAAAGGTGCAAGGATTGCTCAAATTTCTAGAGATGGAGAGAGCTCTGTAGTTCTTTATGTTGTACTCCATACCCTCTCATTTTTAATTTTCTGGAGTTTGATGTCTATTATGTCCCCTTGGAACAGTTACATTCTTAAATCTGATAACTGCAGTGTAACAGACTGTTTATGTAACAGTTTATATTTACTGTTAGGCTTTTTAATACTAATGTGGGGTTTTATTATATTAATGCTATCCTCAGCTAAACCTTCCCTTCTGTAAAATTGTACTTCTCCATGACCTTTTATGTGTCCTACCTGGACTTCCTAATGTGAACAGACAGACATCAGCAAATTTTGGTGTGTGAATAATTTAGAAATGCCACAAGCAGAGTACAGCTGTACAAAAATGGTGCTGCAGCCACAGAATTCTGCCTCCTGTAGTAACCTCAGGCTGTGTGTCTAGATTTTTGCTTTCCGTTTCAACACTGCGGTGCAACAGAGCCAAGAATAATTTGGAAGGGTTTTGGCTGAAAAGCTGAAGATTTTTAAGTGACCAAAGGGAGGTCCATGGAGAAGGACACAGATGTTGAGCACTTTCTGAAAAATAAGCTGTGAATATTGGGCCCATGAGATGGCCATGATGCACCTTAACTTGTCAGCCCTTTTTGAAACCTTTTGCCAGGGCTTTGTGTGCAGGTGGGGGAGGAGGAGGCCCCCAAGTGCCAGCACAAAACCCTCCCAAGCAGACTGAGAAGGAATAAAGTAGCAGATGCAACAGGCACTTGGAAGTTGAAAGGTCAAAGCTGAATGTCTTTGCATGGCCTATTCAGAGTGGTTTTACATTATCAGTAATATCAGTGCATATAGTTATTTTTATAAAACACGCTGTATTTTGTGACTAATATTAAAGTTGTTATTTAAAAAAATTTTATATGTTGTGCCAGCTGATGAATGATGAAATGTATTTTGCTTTTTTTAATTAAAATGCCCTAAATTATGTATTTAACACATTTGGCAGTTCTTTATGGTTTTTTTCCTCTTTACTTTTGAAAAGAGAATTACTTCTTTGTGTGACACTGGATTTAAGACAGTTGAAGTCTCTGAGGACTAGGCATACCTCCCTCTTTTATTGATTTATTTTATTTATCAGTCTGTAATCTCAGATTTCTTTTTTGGGAACTGAAAAAAGCACCCCAAGCAAGGAAGAGGTGTTAACTTAAGCCAATTGTTCTGCTCTCATGTGTAGTCTAGTTCTGAATGCCTCTTGCAGAGTAATTTTTTAGTTTCTTTGGAGGTCTGTGGCTCTTGGGTAGGGAAGTTTGCTTTCCCGGAGGTGTGGGATGCAGCAGTGCTCTGTGCAGCTCATGCCTTGAAAGAAATCTGAAGAGAGCAGGAATCCCAAGCCATGTGCCAGGCCCTTTATTTGTACTTGCATTTCTTTTAAAAGAAATGCTTTTATTTGAACTGTGCTTTAAAATTATTTGCTTCTCCTTCCCTTTTCCTCCTGGACAAGAGAGGTAGCAGAGAGCACAGGAGACTTTGGCAGGGGTTCAGGAGTCATGTTTCAGTGGGGCAGGTCTTGGATCTCTCTTTGCCTTGAAATGAGGAGTCAGATTCAGCTGAAGATCCAACAGGTGCCTCTTTCCCTCTGATCTTTACCTTTCACTGGGAATAACTCTTCAGGTGAGTTATCCCCAGAGGGCCTCATTTGGAAGGTTTTCACAGTGCTCTTTTCATGTCAGTGAGGAAGAGGTTCTTGCTTCTAGGTGGAAGGTCACTAAATCTGGGATCTGTGCATTTGAGGTAGTGCTGGATCTGCTTGTGTTGCCTCTTGTGCTGAGTCTCTTGTTTGGCAGCCTGTGGGACATGAAAGCTTCATCACTGAATCCCAGTGTCTCCCCTTTGGGAAGGGCTGAATCTGTGCCATGTTTTTTTCAGTTACATGTGATAAACTGCACCAAGCAGCTTGTGTGGGCTCCCTGGCTTCTGAAAAATGATGGAAAAGTGTCTTTTTATGGGGAAACTGGGTTGGGAAGGCAGAATACAAGAATTCAAAAAGTTATTCAAGACTTCAGAAAGTTATTCTGACCAGCAAGGAGAGCATCAGAGCAGCTAAGCTGATCTTTAATATTGATTAGGTAGCCCACAAGAAAATTTTGCTTTCTATTCCCAAGGTTTTTCCGGAAGGTGGGTGAGTAAACTGAGGGAGAGCCATCAGCATGATTTAGGGGGAAATAGTTTCAAAGAAATGGCAATCAAGCAGCTCTAGTCTCAGATCAGTTCCTTCAGAAGCCAGTGACACAGGATTCTGTAGGATTTTGCTGACCTTTATGTGCAATATTTCACAAAGTGCACTCAGCCTTGCGCTTACCAGTGTGTTTTCTGCATTGTTGGTTGCATAAAAAGAAGCTCCCGTTTTTCATTGTGTGGTATTTTTTCTGCTCTCTCTTCCTTCCCCACATGTTTATTGAATCCTTTCTCAGGGATGCAAAGATGCCTTTGTTACTTGGAGGGCTGTGGGTGGGCTGGCTTTCAAGGTACTGAGTAGCTTTGTTAATTTTCAAAACTAATAATTTTCTTCAGGCCACTCCAGTGGCAGCAACAGGCTTCAAATTTGGCTTCCATGGAAACATACTGCCATGGTAACTGAAAGGCTTCCCTTCCCTCCCTTCCTTCCCTCCTTTATGTATGTTTAGTTACCCCTTCCAGATTCCATCAGGACTTTTAAAATTCTCCAACCATAGAAATTCACTTCTCTGGGAAGAACAAAGAGTTGTAAAGCCAATGGTGCCATTTCACTGTCATTGTTTTTTGGGGGAAAAAAAATCCCTCTTTCAAGTCTGGAGGGGGATGTCACTGAGACACAAATTCCCTTCCAATTAGGAAAAATCCCAACTCTAGAAGAAATGCTTCATCTTTAAATTGTCTTGTGGCAGCTTGCTGTCATGGGCTGCTTTGGGAAATTAGACTCTGCACCCAGCCCAACATCTGTAATACTGAGGAGGGTGAGAATTGACTCATCCAGAGGTTGGGAGCCACAGTACCAGTGTTTGGCTGGGTCTCTTCCAGCTAATTAATTTGACACCAGATTTTCTGTCGCTGCCTGTCACAGCTGCTTTCACACTAAGATTGGTTAGCAAAGTTTGGCAGGCTGACAGGCAGCCCCAGTTCAGCAACTTTGCTCTGATTCAGCCTGGAGTGGGAGGGAAGGGGGAATTGTGCCTCCTGGAATGTTTTGCTAAGCAAGAAGCAGGGCAAGGGCAAGGACTCTGCAGACCAGAGGGTACAGAGGACCTTGGGGTCAGGTGCTTTATGTTTTTGCTTCCTCTTTGATCCAGAACAAAGCTAACTGGCACCACATCTGATTAGAGTCCTGTGGCCAGTTCTGAGGCAGCACTCTGTGTGTATATGGGTGGGAATCTTGCTTCCCTCATTGTTCCCTTGCCCAAAATCATCACCCTCAGGACTTCAGATCTTTTCTTTTCAGCTGCCTTTACAAGTGTAATGCCTGCACCCAGCTCTAGTCTACTTGTGGGGAAAGCAGAGCTGCCTCATCTATTTCCTGCTCCTTTTTTCATTCCTATTTTTCACCCTGATGTTCTTGCAGCAGCTCTAGATCCACTTGCTTAGCCAGGGGATGTTCCTGCAGCCTGCTTTGGAATGAAGTGGAGACACAACCCCTGGAGCTACACAGGTGATTTCTGGAGACCTGTGAGGCTGCTCCTGCTGGTCACTAAGCTTTTCTGAGGGATTTTATTGGTGACAGTAACAATCCAGGGAGTTCTGGTGGTGCTGGATGAAGCAGATTGGCTTTTGTTCTGCTGGAGAGGGGAGGGCAGAATGGGCTGCACTCAGCACTGGTGGGATGATACAGGAGTGGACTCTATTGGATAATTCACAAGTGAGTGGTGTGTTCTGGGTGACATTATCCATGGGCACATGCTGCTTTCAGAGGAAAATATATTTCCCTGCCATGGAAAACTTTTGTGGAGCAAATGCTTTCTGTGCTCAGCCTAAGCACCAAGCTCTGGTACAAAGCTTCCAATTGACTTCAGCAAATGTTGCTCCCACACTGGCTGATTTCCTCTTATGCTGAGCTGTGTCATATCCTTGCTGCTCTACAGAGAACTCTTAACCTAGTTTGGGTATTTTCAAGCTGAGTTTACAGCAATCTCCTAATTGTCTCCATGCTAACTGGAGTACCACATCCAGAAATTCTTTCTGTATTTTGTGAAAAGTTCATGTCACTCCTGCCTTGGGAAGGTCCTGTTTATCCCCCATGTTCTTCCAGCAGCATAAGGATGCAGCTTTTCCTCATGACTGGCCTGCAACTGCCTTACACTGCTGTGATGTCCTGCAAAGCCATTTTTGGGGTGTTTAATCAGCACAGAGTGTTTCCCTCCCATCCCTGCCCCTGTTCTCAGATCCATTGCAATGAAGGGAAAGCAGCTGTAAAATTGCCCCGTTCTGAGCAATTTACTTCAAGATTTACTTGAAACTAGAGCAGGTTCTTACTCCTGCAGGAAACACCATGAGGCTCCTAAAGGTTTGACAATCCCACTTTTCATTTTGGGTCTAAACAGCTTGGGCAGCTTTGAAGGCTTTAATCCCACTGTTTTTCACCAAATGTGCTGCTGGAGCAGCTGATTTCCCCATGCAGTTGCACTGCAGGAAGCCAGCAGTGATATCTGTTCTGGTGGCATGAACACAGTCCTAAGGCTCGGGCTGGAAATGCCAGAACAGTCCGTGTGATGTTCACTGGAAACCTTGCTGGCATAGCAATGAGCTCTGCTGCAGCCACAGGCTGCAGCTGGGGGATTTATAGGGGGAGTGATCAGATTAATGGAGCAGCAGTGGGAGTGTTCAATTGCACTGGCTTCTGATTAATCACCCTTGGCTGGAACATGTCAGCACACTTCTACTGCCAAAAGCAGTGCCCGAGGTGTGTGGAGCAGCAGGGCCTTCCCTTGAATCGATGGCAAGGCCATGTCCTCCCCAGCACCAGCACTTCACTCCTGCTTCGCTGATTCTGTGGAGAAATTTGCAAAAGTTTCAGCCAACTATTTGAATTTGAATTTTGCTTTTGAGCCTAAAAGAACTTGGGGTGATGAGAGAGACCTTTAGGAAATCAGATGGCTGTCGCCCTGTTCTTTTGAGAGTTTTAAAGTTCTTCTAAAAGTTTTCTATGCCTTCTGATGCTTACATATTTCTACTGAATTTTCTCACACTGTTCATGTCAATAATGATTGTTTTGCATTCTTCTTTGTGGGTGGAGAGAATTGATGGACCATTGGTTTTACCAGTGTGGTTGGAGAGGCGGCAATTTCATCCTCCAATCCACTGCCACTTTTGTAATTCTATATATGGTGGAGTCAGGAGATAAAATCTCTCTTTTGGTTCTTTTCTTCCCTCTTTTGCATCTGGCATCTGTGTGTGTTATTTCTTGTCATAGTGTGGCAGATGGTGACTTGGACTCATCTCCTTGATATGGAGACATCAGCTATCATCAGTAACATTGCAAACACTGCCACCTGAACGTGATCCTGCTAGTGTTAGGGTGTTTTCCTTCCACACACATTACCCCAAAGAATGGTGATTCTAGGGGATCTCTGGGGAAGACACTAAGCTGGCAGCAGAGCTTCTCCAAGGTGCTCCATCTTTTTTGCACCAAGGCAGGTCATTGCCTTACACAGCACCCTGATGCCTCCCTGCTCCACAGAAATCTCTCAGCCCCCTGTGAAAGATTTCTCTGGTATTTTGGTATCTGCAGCCACTAGCTTGCTTCTGTTTATCCACTCCTTTCCTGCCCTCTGGGAGCAATAGACCAGAGGTCAAGTTTTCACAGCAAAAATTCTAATTGCTCCCTAAGAGCAGGGCTGGCTGCTGTTGTCTTTCAGCCCTGTTACATTACTAAGGTGCTCTTTAATATCATGCTTTGATATTTGGGTCTTCTTCTAAATAAGAGCTCAGTGTCATTACCAAATCTGCCTGGCCCCTCTTTCTGTCTGGG